CCCTCTCCTGCCAGACCAGCTACTACAGACAGAGATGGCATGGACCATTGCACCTAACACATGGAAAAAGGCAGACAATTAATAAATTGCAATAGTTCTACACATACATTTTGTGAAGTTTTTCCTTGCCACAGTCTGCCTTGGCTTTTTCAAGTTTTTAAAGCTTTAAACCTGATGTCATTAATGCATGTAAACGTACTTTGAAACAACTTGTGAAGAGTTATACGAACAAAAATTATTTAAAAAAATTTACATCATGGAAAATCATGGGTTGTGTCATTTCATGTTAACATTAATTGCTAAACAGGGCCTGTAAGGACAACTAAAATTGCTCCAAGATCCAAAACTTGTGAAACAAAGCAACATGGCAGAGAAGTAGAGCACATTTCTCGGTCATGACATATCAGTAGAAGTCATCATGACATATCAGTAGAAATTAAATTACAGAGATGCAGCAACCTGATTATATCGGCAGCGGTCATCGGACTCTTTTTTTTCACTGATGACATACTCATTCTATCATTCACCCATCCATTTAACCAATGCGCTCTAATACTAAAACAGAGGGAATGTTCTCCAGCAGAGACTAAATACACCACTGAAAAGAGACTTCCAGACTGCATTTCATTGTCATACTCTTTTGAAATCGACTGAAGGTATTTTAGCTTTTTACAATATTTATTTTTAACAACGCCATTCTGTTCGAGAAATGCCAAATTGACCATCTGCATGAAGGGATGGGCTTATTTACTGCGTAGCAGAGAAATTAATCCCTAAAATCCTACATGGTTACACACACACATACAGATTTACGTCATGCGCTAAACCTCAGTGACTCATACAGTAAACTCCCATTCAGGCCTACAAATATTAGCAGCGTTTATATAGAACAGAATACTGATATGCCTTCCCCCCCAAACCATGTAAGGGACATTTCAAATAAGGGAATAAATCGACATGAATTGGGCATACAGCATATGCAGAATGCCATGATTGACCAATAAGAAAGTGCAGGTGCATGTCATTGACTTTGCTGCTGCAGCACAAGGATAAATGAAAGCCGCTCTCATGTCAACAATCAATCAGTGAGACCCTCTAAAACTTTACTTTTCAAAATGAAAACCTCCACTGGCACCATTTACTCCCAGAAAGGCTCTTTACAGGGAAGCCGTAACGTAAGCCCACACAACCGAAAGTAATGTACTTCTGCTGGCTCGCATTAAAAGTACATGCCTGGTATCTAGACCAGGTCAAGGTTTTGCTGGTTAGCATGCCCTAGTTAGCCCCTGCTGGTATATGCCGTAACAACACCATCTGGACCCAAAAATATCCTTCTCCATTGATAGCTATTAGAAATGACAACATTTATGCATTTAAGCTATACATACATTTTTTTTTGTCCATACGATCCAGCTGAACTTGAACACTAATTTGCTACAGATTTACAATGCCCTGGATGACCTGTGCACATTCAAAAGTACTCAAAAGTTTGAAACTACCTAAACTACATAAAATAAATAAATAAATAAAAACTATGATATAAAACGATTCTCAAAACATTAATTACTACTTTTCATCTCACAATTCTGGATTTCTTCCTCACAACTGAAGTTGACATTTCACAATTTAGACTTTGTTTCTTGCAAATCTAAAAAAAATAAGTCAAAATTGCAAGATAAACAGAATTGAGAGATACTGTATAAACTCAGAATTCTGACTTTTTTCTTTCAATTCCAAGTTTATGTCTCACAATTCTAACTTTTTACCCTCTGAATTCCTCACAATACAGATTTTTCTTAGTTT